ATTGGCCGCTGGGCCTGTTCTTCCGGTCGGTCGCAGGTCTGCCTACCTTGCAGGCGCGGGCGGCGGCTCTGCTCTGCCCTTACTCCAATTGGGGTGACGTGTCTACCACGCAGGCGGGTCGCTGGGCCTGTTCCGGGCGCAAGCGGCGGCTCTGCTCTGCCCCTACTCCAATTGGGGTGATGTGTCTACCATGCCGGCAAGCCGCTGGGCCTGTTCCGCCGGTCGGTCGCAGGTCTGCCTACCTGCGGGCGTGGGTGGCGGCTCTGCTCTGCCCCTACTCCAATTGGGGTGACGTGACTACCACGCCGGTGGGTCGCTGGGCCTGTTCCGGGTGCGGGCAGCGGCTCTGCTCTGCCCCTACTCCAATGGGGTGACGTGACTACGCTGGGCCTGTTCCGGGCGCGGGCGAAGGCTCTGCTCTGCCCCTACTCCAATTGGGGTGACGTGTCTACCGCGCCGGCAGGCCGCTGGGCCTGTTCCGCCGGTCGGTCGCAGGTCTGCCTACCTTGCGGGCATGGGCGGCGGCTCTGCTCTGCCCCTACTCCAATTGGGGTGATGTGACTACCACGCCGGCGGGTCGTTGGGCCTGTTCCGGGTGCGGGCGGCGGCTCTGCTCCTACAATGGATTCTTAAAGTGACTTCAGTTAATAAACTTGGAACAGGTGTTTAGACAGAGGTAGGGTTAGTATCTGTTTGAACTGCTTTAGCTCTGATGATATTTAGTTATGTGCAAATAATTCATATTTGAAAAATTTCACAAATTGTTACTGTTACTAGTATTTGTGAATAGCTGGATATTGGTCAATTACAATCACTTTTGTGCTATTTTTGTTCTTACATGGCAAATATTTTTGTCATAATTTCGGGCTTTTTGAAAACTAGGGACAATTTTTTCCATTTTCTAATTTGGAAAGAAATAAGTGAGCATTTGATAATTTTCAGGAATTGCAAAGGAATAAGTTATTCATGCTGTAAGGTGGTGTAAATAAGCACAGAGTGGTACTTGAGTATAAAATTTGTTCATTAATTTGTCAGTAGGGTTATTTCTTTTTTAATGTGGAAAGTCATGTATGGGAGATTTTATAAGGAAGGGAAAGGAGAATAGGAAATTACCAACATGCTTTCAGTACCTATTACGTACTACATGTTACATGCATTCTTTCATTTAATCATTTAATCTTCACAAAAGCCTTATGAGGGGAATATTATCATTTCAGTTTTATATATGAGAAAAACTAAGACTTAGTTTAAATAATTCCCATAAGGTAATTTGACTAGTGAATGATAAAAGTTAAGGTTAGAACCCAGAAGTATCACTTTAAAGAAAATTATATGTAAACACACAAATGGAACATTTTTAAGCAATCAGTCATCCCTTTGTAACTGAAGGAGACTGATTTCATTGGATGCTCAAATCTCTTGTATTAAATGGTATAGTGTTTATACATAATCTACATGTATCATGTCATATACTTGAAATCATCGGAAGATTTCTTATAATGACTAATACAATGGAAATACTATGTAAATAGGTATTTTAGTATATTGTCAAGGAATATCAAGGGAAAAAAAGCCTATTTATGTTCAATATAGTCACGATTATATTCTATCTGTGGTTGATTGAACCTGCAGATGTAGAACCCCAGGATACCAGAGGTCTAACTGTACCTAGCTGGAACATTATATCGAATATGTATTGTAATATCATAATTTGTTTCTTGACAACTAGGCAGATTGTGTTGTTTGAAGTCATGCGTAACCACTAGGCCTATTCATCTTGAGGTCATTATAATTAAAAAACTGCCTAAAAAAATGTGTTTGACTGTCATTGTTAAAATTGAGGGACCCTAAATTATTTTATGAATTTGGGCATGAGTAATGTAGCCCTTTCCAGATAGATGCACATTAATGTTTGTTTTTCCTTTCATTTATGTAGTAATTTTACTTATCAAAGAAGCAATGAACAAACACTTATTGAGAATCTGTTATGTTTTAGACACAGTGATAACTTTGGGAATACTGAAATAGTGTTTAAAATAATTAATTAGTCCATTGCTTCATAGTGTAGTTTCTCATTTTAATACAAGGAAGTGGAGAATAAGTTAAATAAATGCAATATACTATGTCAGTTGTGATAATAGAGATATAGTATTTAATAAGATATTTCAGCTGTATAATAATTTAAGTTCAAGTTTGCAAAATATTTAATTCTCTTTATTTCTAAAAGTGAGTTTACATTTTAACTCTAAGCCCACAGAATCAGGAAAGGTACTTAGATGATATTTAGATAATCTATGTGGTAGGGTATGTTTGGTTGTCACAATGTCACTCTGACCTCATGTGGGGGAAAGACAAAGGATCTCTCTCGGGTCTCTTTTTAAAGAATACTAGTCCCATTTATGAGAGATCCTGACCTAAGCACCTTTCAAAGTTTGCCTTACTCCCCAACACCATCACTTTGTTATGTGGGGGGTAGGATTTTAGCACATGTTTGAAGGGACACAAACATTCAGACCATAGCACTTGTCTGTTACCCAGCTCTGTTAATTGTAAATGAATCTTCATAGAATTTGCTGCAAATTTGAGCAAGTTGTTTAACCATCCAAACTCAGTTTCTTCCTAGAAAAAAATAAGCTTACCATAACCTTTCTACGTCTTTCAATTTATAATTGTTTTGAAAATGTAAAGCCCTTTGAAAACTAAATTGGTAGTTATAGTAGCTAGATATGTTAATTTTAGTAACAGGAAGATGGTCTATCTAATGTTGACCTCATTACCCCTCATCCCTTGGTTCAGCTTTGTAAGATATAGGATGCTTGGCCATAAACACTGGAGAAGCAGAATTTATCTTACTGGGGAATGGCTTTCTTCCTCTATGAAGGGCTACGTGATCAATGACTAACAAGGTATCCAGGAAATTAAGTCTTAACAGGAGCCTAAGGGGACTATTATTACATAGCGTAGAAGGAAGAAGAAGGTGAAATTCCACCTAAACCCAGAAGGTGAAAATGAGGTCTCCAAGCCAGGTGAAGTGGTGCACACCTGTAATCCCAGTTATTTTTGAGGCTGAGGCAGAAGGATGCAAGTTCCAGGCCAGCCCCAGCAATTTAGCGAAACCTTGTCTCTAAAAAATAAAAAGAATTAGTGATGTACTAGGTGATAGAATAACCTTGGGATCAATTCCCAGTACAAAAACAAAAAACAAAAAAAAAAAAAAAGGAAATTTATTTAGTCTTGAGATAAGTACAGTGGCACAGACATGTATTCCCAGAGAGGATTACAAATTTGAGGCCGGCTTCAGGAACATAGCTAGACCCTCATTCTTGATTTGAATTTATGGAAATCAAAACTATACTGATATTTTATCTCAAACCAGTTAGAATGGCCATCAAGAATACAAACATTAGATACTGGAAAGGATGTGGAGAAAAAGAACACTTTTACATAAACCTTCTGGAAATCAATGTGGAGTTTCCTTAAAAGAGTAAGAATGGAACCACCCTATGACCTAGCTATGCCACTCTTCAGTATTTATCCTAAAGAATTAAAGTCATCATACTATAGTGTAATATGCATGCCCATGTTTATAGCAGCACAATTCACCAGCCTAGGTGTGCATCAGTGGATGAATGGATAAAGAAAGTGTGGTTTATATACATGATAGAGTTTTATTGGCCATAAAGAAAGATGAAATTATGTCATTTGCAGGAAAATGGATGGAATTAGAGACCATTATGTTAAGCAAAGTAAGCCAAACTCAAAAGGTCAAGGGTCATATGTATTCTTTCATGTGGAAGCTAGAGAGGAAAAAGGAAAAGAAAGGTAGAGGTAATCTCATAAAAATTGAAGGGAGATCAGTAAAATAGAAGAAAGGTTCCAGGGGGAGGGAGGATGGGAGAGAAAGGGAAAATACTAGGGAATGATATTGGCCAAATTATGTTTTTATATCATGTACATGTATAAATATGTAACACTGAATTCCACTATTATGAACAACTATAATGTACCAATAAAAAATGTAAAAAAAAAAAGAAAGAAATAGCCATTTGCTCTCTTAAAAGGACTGAGTCTAATTGTTTTAGGCAAGATGCAAATAAAAAGAATAATAGAAAATGTAAAAAAAAAAAAAATCAAAAGGGCTGGGGAGATAGCTCAATGGTAAAGCACCTCTGGGTTCAATCCTCAGTACCAAAAAAAGAAGAAGAGGTTCTGGAAATTGGCATGGCTGATTTTTGGTTGCCTGCTTTGATTTCCTGTAGCTGAAACTATACTTATTTTAATGATTGAGTTCTATATTTTGATCCCTGTCCTTCATAGCAAACCAATAGCTAGTGTGATTATTACTCCATACAAAAGGACAGAAGAAAACAAAGTTAAAACCCAGAAATTCCAATTGGTATTTGTTTTATCCTGCTATAATTCCTTTTCAAACAAATAGCAGATACAACTATGTTTAAATGCCCATGTTATATAATACTGTTCCTAGAAATTTGCCTGAAGGTAACTCTTGTTATGCATTGTCCTGTTATGTATTTGCTGTGTGACCTTGGCCAGGGTTTTTATTTTTAGCAAACTTTATTGATTTTCTTATTGTTGATAGACTTGTAAATCTCATTCTTGATTTGAATTGCTCAGCTTCCTGACTGCATTTTCTTTTGAAGTTTTTGGTTTTGTCTAATACAGCTCATGGCTAGTCAGTAGTGATCATATTGGTTTGCTCCCTTTTCACTTTTTGTTGTTGTTGTTGTTGTTGTTTGGTATCAGGGATTAAACCCAGTGGCACTTTACCCCAGAGCTGTGCCACCAGCCCTTTTTATTTTTCATTTTGAGACAGTCTCCATTAAATTGCTGAAGGTCTGGCTAAATAGCCGAGGCCTTGTCAAACATGCAATCCCCCCTCTCTAAGCCTCCCAAATTGCTGGGATTACAGGCATGTGCCACCATGCCTGGCCTTTTGCACTGTTTCCCTAGTAAGTTTAGTATTTTTTTCTCCCCCACAGGTTTTCTGTGCTTCCTGCTGTAGCCTGAAATGTAAACTGTTATACATGGACAGAAAGGAAGCTAGAGTGTGTGTAATCTGCCATTCAGTGCTAATGAATGGTAAGTATTAAAACAGGTTGATTTCCCAGTCATTGAGATAAAACAAGAGAATTCCTATGAAAAGGTTTCTTTGTGTTTCTTTACAAGTCATTCACCTTCTCAAATGTTATAACTTTGAAATATTGAGTTTAATTTTCATGTTTTGAAAGTTTCTTAGCATTTCAGAATTCCTGTGTCTAATTTAATGAATAGAATTCTAAAGTCAGGTAAGTTTTATTGGAAGAATGAATTTCTTTGGAAATTTGGTGTTGTATAATGGTTTGTTCTGGAGAAATGACTGGAAAGGGGTGGGGTTAGGTGTTATTGACTATTTAGATGATGAAGTATTAAAATTGGGCAAGGTTTTCCTTTTTACAGAAGCTCTTCTTTTCTATGAAGCGCCATAATGACTTAGGATATATTATTAACAGCACTTTTTTTCATCCACCTTGTTAAAAATAAATATTTTAGCACCTAAGATCAAGTAGCAAGTTGTACTTTTTTTCAGGTATTTCCTTAATACAACTTAGATTTGCTATAAAGATAATGGCTTTGAATGAAGTTGTTATGTGGTAAAAGAATACAGCCAGAGGAAGTAAATAAAACTTACTGTTTATCTTTTATGGAAGTGGAAATAAATCCAGGGGCATTTAAATTAAAAGCAAACATCACAACCTAAAAACATTGAGTATTCTTATAAAGGGAAACAATAAAACTGAGCAGACTATAGTATTTTCTCTTTGAATGTGTCTTTGTATAGTTGCCATAAAATGTTGAACCTAGACACCAGTGCTACCTGTGCCCAGATAGTGTACCTCTTGGAGACTGGAACTTAACTGCTCTGAGATCCCTCCTGCTGTGTCTGTCTGCATTGCTCATAGTGATGTTTTCCTGTTGCTGGCTTATTAACCTATTGCATGTCAATTAATCTAATCTGTTCTAATCTCCTATGATCCACCCAATTTCCTCCCATTTCTGAATTCTTATAATTATGATAAATTATGAATCATTCTCTCTACTCTTAAGGGTCACTTTTGGATGGTGGTTATTCATGTAGTTGCTTAATGGATGATTTTTATTCCACTGCTTTCACTTTGGACACATGCATAGAAGGAGTATGTTGCTTAATTATGATACATAATACCTCTTTTATTCAATGAGGTCTTCCAACTTTATGGCAATTTTTTTAAACTTGGTATAGCTAAAGATGAAGGAAATGGCAGAGGATTTATATGGAATAATACTTTTTATTAAGTCAAGGAGGCCCTTAATAGGGATCCTAAGGTAATCCACTTTTCTTGGTTTTTCCAGCGTCTTTCCTCTTGCATGGCTTAGCCCAGTCTTTTTCTGAATATTTAATTTGATGCTTTTCAGTGTTCCCTCTTTTTCCTTTCTCCTTTTCTCTTCCTTCCCTCTTCCTGCAGTGCTTTAAAAGGAACATAGCTTTTGTTACTAGCCTTGTCATTCAGTTTGGAGGCAATAAATATTCAAAATCTTATGGATCATTCCTTGATATTGATTGAGATTTTTGAAAAGGTACTAAAAAATTGGGTAATTTCTGTTCCTGGGCATGCTATTACTTCATAATAAAATAAAAATAAAATTTGATATATTTTGTTTCTATAATACTTTTCATCCTGTTTACTTTTAAAGATAATAGTTGATATGTTAATATTTAATTAAATTATAGGGTATACAGAATCAATGTATTTGTGATCATTTACATTGATGAATCACAATTATATTGGCACATTTTCATGTTCAAATGGGTCCTATGCTTTTGAGACACACCAAAGATGTGAAATGGTTATTATATTGTTGGATTCTTTTTCACAGGATAATTATTGCATAAAAGCAGAATTCATAAAAATTTTTTGAGAGGTGTTCTTCTGAGCTTTATGCTTCTGAATTTTTTGAATGAGATTTTATCTCAACTAAGAAGAGCCTTGAAGTCTAGAAATGAACCATACAACAGAGTTATATTATTTGTGTCCCTGATTTTTATAGTTTATAAAATGCATTAATTAATAAAACAAAGCCCAAAACACCTAACTATTTCAAGAAAATCCTTAAAGTTAGATATTATTTTACTCCCTCTTAAGGAAGTGTACAGTCTCCTTAAGGATGCCTTGGATCTAATCTTTAACTCAGACTGATCTACTCTCAGTTGTATCAGAATAATCATGTAATTATTATTTTTAAAAATATCATATAATCCTTATTTGCTCCAGCCAAATAGTTTTATGTAGACAAATGGTCTCCTTTATTGAATAAAATCACCCATCTTCTTAATATCTTCACTAGCTGAAAGAGAGACATATTATGAGTATTAGTGAGGAGGAGCTACATTATTTATCCAATATTGTGGAGGTCTTGATGTCCATATTTTGCAATCCATTCACATTGATTGTGTCTGTATTTGCTTTAGCTCAAGCCTGGGAGAACATGATGAGTGCCTCAAGCCAGAGCCCTAACCCTAACAATCCTGCTGAATACTGTTCTACTATCCCTCCCTTGCAGCAAGCTCAGGCCTCAGGAGCCCTGAGCTCTCCACCTCCCACTGTGATGGTACCTGTGGGAGTTTTAAAGCACCCTGGAGCAGAAGGTAGGGGATCATGTGCTATTCTCTCTCTTTCTCCTCACCAAGTTCCTCTGAAAAGGTGCTGATGTGACTTTACAGCACAATTCTTTAAAACACTATAGATCAGTCCCTTTGAATGGTTATTAAAGTGGAAGAACAAGGTGAGAAACGTGTTAAGACTCTATCTGGACAAAGTAAAAAATAATATTGTATTGCCTGATATTTTGTAGGCACTTCTAAAAATATGTCCGTCTACTCTTCATTTTAAGAATGGAATGAGTACACTACTTCTACTTGAAAAGAGTTGGAGAATTGAAGTCAGCCTATAAAATCCTTGCTTGCAGCCTAGCTTAATGTTCTTTGTAGGAGTTTACTAAGTGATAAAAATGAGAATTCTTCCTTCTCACCAGCCCATTCTAGTGTTGCTTTTTAGAATATATGTTACCATTTTCTCTTTTCATTTTTAATCTATCTATCAAAAAAACATGAATATATTATCATAGGTACATAGACCTTTAAATCCAAGACTTGAATTCTGATCATGTCATGATAGATAGGAAATTATAGGCTCAATTTATTTTTGGATTATTACTTCTTTATTGATTATGATATGTTCAGATGAAAGACATTTTTTAAATTTAGAGGATTATGAATAGTAGAAGTAATAATTATATATTTCCTTAAAATAATCTTGTCAAGATGTATCCCTTGATGATTAAAATCAGTCTTCCTTCATTAATTTTATGTCTTTTCATCTAGTAATATTCCCTTCCCCTTGCTAAATAGCCCGACTTTCCCTTTTGAAGATCAAAGATTTCTATTGAGATTATCGTACTTTTCCTCATTTTCCCTTCTTTTCAGATCATCCCTTAGTGATATTCCTTTGTGTTTTTGTGAGTTTAGGCTTGCTTTTCTCAAAATCTTTATTCTCTTTTACTTCATTTGTCATTTTTGTTGTTCTTCCCTAGTCTCTCTTTGTTTTGACTGAATTGATTTCCAGAATTGCATGTAAAGATATTGTTTCATCAGACTTAGTTTTCTAGCTTTTCCCTGTCCTTTATTAAAATGAAAATTACTTTGTACTGCCAGATCAATCTTTTTCTTCTTCACTTATATTCTAGCCAAAGATCTGGTCAGTTTGCTTCCCAATTCTTAATATATCTGTGCCAACTCTTCTTTTATAAAATAATAATTCTTCAACATTCTTCAGGGCATCTTTTGCCCTTTAAAAATATCATACGACTTTTCTAGATATTTAATTCCTGTGGAAACCTTATAATTTGGGGGAGATGTGGATTTATATTGATAGCTTTTTTCTTACCATGAGTTTATTTTCTAGATGCTTAAAACACTTTCCTTAGTTTCTCTGTCAGTGATACAGGATGAGTATAAGACATAATCATAGATGTGTTTAGGATTTTGAATATTTTAACACAGTATTTAAATATTTGCCTAAAAGTTATATCAAAAATATATATTTAAACATGTATTTTTTATTAATTTATAAACCATTTTTACACACAGTTATAATTCTGATATTTCTGATTGTAAGAGGCCAAATAGTGATTTCTTTGTACATCTGGAATTGGTGACCTTCTCTTCTTTGATGTTAGAAACACTATCAATATCACATTGATGCCTATTTTATATTTCTGGTCCCTTCCTCAAGTGGCTCAGCCCAGAGAGCAGAGGAGAGTTTGGTTCGCTGATGGGATCTTGCCCAATGGAGAAGTTGCTGATGCAGCCAAATTAACAATGAATGGAACTTCCTCCGCAGGAACTCTGGCTGTGTCTCATGACCCAGTCAAGCCAGTAACTACCAGTCCTCTACCAGCAGAGGTAAGAAAAACAAAACAGCAACTAAAAGTGAGTACAGTTTGCTCAGCATTGTGCTGCATCTTTCTTGCCTTTTGCTAAGTTGAGTGACTTTTGTGTAGAACTCCGAAGGTTTTGGATAGTGCAAATAAGTATTCATGGATGTATTTATAAGAGTAAAGTAAATGTGCCAAAATCAGCTTCTTCTTGTTTGCTCTAGAGAAGGTTTTCTTAAAAGAGTATTTTTTTCCAAGAGAAAGGTTCTCATTAAGGTTGTTCTCAAGTGAACTCAAGCTGCTGCTATAACTAGAAGTCAGGCTAGAGAATCTTCGCTTCTTGATACATTGGTTTTCTTTTTTCTTTCTTTCTTTTCTTTTTTTTAGTATTTGTGCTTGCATCAAGAAGCCCTTTGCCAGTAAGCTACATCCCTCAGCCCTTTTATTTTGATTCAGTGTTTCACTAATCTGCCCAAGCTGGCCTCAAACTTGCAATCCTCCTGCCTCAGTTTTCCAGTTCTCTAGGATTATAGGTGTGCACCACTATGCCCAGCAGATACATTGGTTTTTAAATCATGTTTCCCAAGTTCTGTGGTGGCCTTGAGAGTGCCATGGTGAGGAAGGTTGGGGTATGTGAAGATGACTGAAGAACTAGGCTATGCTTTTCTCTTCAACTCAAGCTGCTGCTGCTGCTGCTTCTTTTTTTTTTTTTTTTGTTGTTGTTTGTTTGACCTTTTGTGTTTCCATTTAAGATTTTAAAACAGGGTTCCAAATTTTTAAATAAGTTGCTACATCAGTGGCTTAATAGATGGAAGGATAATGCAAATTATTTAAAGAAACTAGCTTACGCCAAGCTGTCACTTTCATCTCTGTAGAAGTCCCAGTTACCATTTGAGGGCTAATGGTATTCTCTTTCTGTGGATCCTAATATTCAGAAGATAAATACCAACTATAGTTTTTGGAGTCAATGAGAAAATGTCTATCTAGAAACAAAATTAGAGATATGCAAGTAGGATCATTATATTGTGAGTTGCTTTCTATTGCTTCCTTCAATCTGGTAAAGTTATAAGACCATTAATTCCAATTAAGTATTTATAACCATCTATTTTTTAAATTAGAGTTAAAAAGTTTGAATAAAGTTTTTTTTTTAAATGACTTTTGTAGAGCAGTTTTTGGTCCATTGAAAAATTTGAGAGGAAGATGGAGAGATTCTTTATACAACCCCTGTCCTCATGAGCTAGAAAGTTACTAATACAGAAAAGGAAAGATGGACTGAGTATCCTAAGAGAAATGCCTGTGAACCATTGGAATTCAGGAAATGCCCTTGAACCTTCAAATGCAAAACAGGGATTGCTGAGCAGCCTAGCTCAAATCATTAGCCCTGCCTTGGCCCACACCTTTGACTCATGCCCTTGCCTGAAAATAGTTGTGAGGGCCAGGGCAATGTGCAAGTGCTCAAAAATTAACTTTGCCCTGGTTCCTCCTCTAGTTCAGTCCCTAGCAACTGCCTCTTTGCATACCAGCCACATGTACACAGCTTTTCCTCTCAGTCAACATCTTCCACCAGAGTGATACAGTTAAAAACTAATGAATCTACATTGATGCATAATCACTGAGTCCACAGTTTATATTCGGATTAGATGAAGTTTTTACTCCTGAAGTTTTCATAGAATTTTTAGTTACTAATTATTTATATTTAATAGTTTTTTTTTAGATATATCCATATTATTTGTGGATTAGGTCATAATTAAAATTGCATGTTGTTAAGATAATTTATTGACATACTGTATCTGTCTGTTTTCTGTTGCATTATAATAATACAATAACCAAAGGCTGGGTAAGTTTCATGAAAAGAGATTTGCTTTGTCACACAGTTCGAGAGATCTAATATCAAGGAGCAGCATCTAGTGATGATTTGAATCCTGAGAAAGAGAGGGGCATTCACCTGGCCAGAGATAGGCACATGTATATGTCTCTTTTGGTTTTTCTTCCTCCCTCCCTCCCTTCCTTCCTTTCTTTCTTTTTCTTTTTCTTTCTCTTTCTCTTTCTTTCTCTCTTTCTTCCTCTTTTTCTTTCTTTCTTTTTTTTTTTTTAATATATGTTATGGGGATTTGAACCCAGGGGTACTTAACCACTGGCCACATCCCAAGCCCTTTTTTGTATTTTATTTAGAGACAGTTTCATTAAGTTGCTTAGGACCTCACTAAGTTGCTGAGGTTGGCTTTGAACTCAGGATCCTCCTGCCTTAGCCTCCTGAGCTTCTAGAATCTCTCCCTCTCTTTTTAAAGCTACCAGGACCCAGTCACAGCATCACCTTACTAATGACCCTGTTCACCTCACAAAGGCCCCACCTCTAAACACCATTACATTAAGTTTCTACCCTCTTAACACCTCACAGTGGTGATTAAATTTTAAATGAAACCTTGGAGGGGGCACTCAAATCTTATCCAAACCATAGCACCCACATAGCTAAGTTTCCTCTTTGGAGAAGGGACATTAAATTGTGTCATGTCTGTCTTTATGTATTTGTAAGTCTGTTTTGGAGGATTTTATTCTATGGCTGCAGAGAGTGACAACCGTAACTATTTGTGAGTGCAATAAACACTCATATACTCTTTACGATATTTACCAGCTATTATCATTTTGCTACATTTACCACCACACACACACACACACACACACTTTTCTTTTCTTTTTTAATATCTTTATTTTATATGTTTATTTTTTATGTGGTGCTGAGGATGGAACCCAGGACCTCACATTTGCTAGGCAAGTGCTCTACCACTGAACCACAACCTTAGCCCCACACTTTTCTTTTTTTTGATGAACAATTTGAAGATTAGTTGTACTTCACTACCTGATCCTTTCAGCTTGTATCTCTTAAGAACAAGTCGTTTTCCTACATAATCACAACACAATGATCATATGAGGAGGAAATTTATTCTATAATTCTACTTTCTTTTATATAATCCATATTCATATTTTCCCAGTTGTCTCATTAATATTCTGTATAGCTTTTATTTATACATACTTATACATGCACAGACACAAAAATATTTAAATACCTTTATTTTTAAAAATCAGAATCCCATTAAGGATTACAGTTGCATTAAGTTGTCCTTTTAAGTTGCTTTTCTTTAATCTTGAACAGTTCCCTACTTTTTTTGGTCTTTCATTACCATTATTACTTTTAAAGCATTGGGCCATATTTTGCATAATGTCCTCAATTTGTCTTTGTCTGATTTTTTTTCATGATTAGTTTCAGATTAAACATTTTTGTCAAGGATAATAGTACTACAGAAGGTGTGTTCATTTCTTACTGGATTATATCAAGAAGTATCAGTTTGGTAATTGGTTAAGATGATGTCTCCCGTTTCTCCGTTGCAAGAGTACATTTTCCTGTTTGTAATTAATAAATAATATGAAGGGTAATATGATTTTACTGTACTTTGACAATTCTTATCTGAATCAGTTATGAACACGGAACTTATATGGTGACTTTCCTTTTTTCTGTCAGATTTCTTTACATCTCTTTGTGCAGTAGGTTCTTAAAACATTTTTTTAATGTGCCCTATATGTCTTCATTTGCTTTGCCATATAAATTTTTTCCACATTTTTTATTGGTGCATTATAGTTGTCATAATAGTGGGATTTGTTGTTACTTACTTGTGCATGCACACAATATAACAATATTATTTGGCCAATGTCCCTCCCCAGCACTTCCCTCCTCCCACTCCATGATTTCTTTCCTCTATTCTACTAATCTCTCTTTGCTTTTTATGCCATTACCCTCCACACCTTTTTTTTTCCTTTTTTCCTCTCTAGCTTCTATATATGAGAGAAAACATATGACCCTTGACCTTTTGAGTTTGGCTTATTTCACTTAACACAGCCGTGTCAAGTTCCATCCATTTTCCTGCAAAAGACTCAATTTCATTGAGTCTATAATTTGGCTAATATGAATTGTATTGCTATAAACATAGGTATGCATGTGTCCTTACAGTTTGATGACATTAATTTTTTAGGATAAATAACAAGCAGTATATAGCTGAGTCATACGGTTCCATGTAAAACATAAGTATGAATGAATACAGAAACTCTAGAGAATGAATGCTACAGGGTAACAAGGTCTGGCTCAATATAAAAGGAACTAAACCAAGTTAATTATTCTGTTTCTGTACTCTTATATTATTCAACACTTTTTTAGTATTTATTTGGTAATTTGAGGAAAAACAAATGGTATAAGGCCATACTGGAATATATTTTTATCATTTTTCAAAAAATATTTTTTTTAGTTGTAATTGGACACAATACCTTTATTTTATTTGTTTATTTTTAATGTGGAACCGGGGATCAAACTCAGTGCCTCACACATACTAGTCAAGTGCTCTACCACTGAGCCACAACCCCAGCCCCTATTTTTCTCATTTTTATGGCTTAGTAGAGTACTTAATATTTAATAGGTGCTTAATAAATGGAGTAAATTCCTTTTCATAAAAAATATTTAAGTAGATGCCAGATGACAACTTCTTTTGATATTAAAGGATAGATTTATACATCATTAAATAACAGATTTGAATAGATTGCTGTATTTCCAGCACTAGGCCTTTAAATCAGTTATAATGGCTTGTAAATAGAATTTTCCAAATATCATATAATGCCATACTGGCCACACTGAAAAATATTTTAGCAAAAAATCACTATAATCTTATAGTCCTAAACTATAGATAATATAGACAAAAGTGTGGCAAGACATGAGCATATTTAAAAAAAATAGTTTTAGAATCTTTTCAGATCTAAAATATAGCAAAGTGCTTAAAGAACATTAACCTTTAGGAGACAACTTGATGAATTTATATATATCTATGTAACCATCACCCAGATACAGAATCTTTCTATCACCCAGAAGGTACCCTCATGTATTTTTCTGTCAATACCTGCTATCCTTTCTCCGAGGTAACCATTTTTCTGACTTCACCATAAATTATTCTTGCCTATTCTTGAATTTCATATAAATGAAAACATAAATGTTTTGTGTTTAACTTTGCAAGCTCAACCTAAAATTTATGAGATTTATTCATGTTGTTCTTGCACCAGAAATTAATTTTTTTATTACTAAGTAGAATTCCATTGTGTATATATATCTAATTTATCTATTCCCGTTAGTGGACATTTGGATTATTTTTAGGGTTTTTGTTATTATGAATAAAGCTGCTGTGAATATTATAGTGTATTGAGCTGTTTTTCAAAAAGTTTTTTTTCCAAAAAGTTTAAAGTTTAAATATTTACTTAAATTCCCATTTGTATTCTTAACTATATTCTACCAAAGTCTCAGGCTGCCTTTAATGCTCACTTTGCTGATTTGCTTTTCCTAGGCAGACATTTCTTTATTTTCTGGGAGTATTACTCAGGTTGGAAGTCCTGTTGGAAGTGCAATGAACCTTATTCCTGAAGATGGCCTTCCTCCCATTCTCATCTCCACTGGTGTAAAAGGAGGTATGTGGACTTACATATTTAAATAGGTATAGTTATATATACCAAATATTGTCTTCTGGTTAAGGGAAGGAGATGGAGTTTAAGTGATTACTATCCTTCTCCTATCCAACAAAAAAAGTGCAACTATCCCAATGCCATGAAAACAGTTGTTGCTATTACTAATTATTTGAGTAGATGTTATGTTTTTATATTATAATGTCATTTTCATTCATTGGAAGGATATAATATTAATTATAATATAAAGATAGTCTATTAGAAGTTTTTCCTTTATATTTCAAAGCCACATAGTACTCTGAAGAGTTATTTGTAGTTCTAGAATTGGCTCTCTCAGATACAGTCAGGATATTAGTTTAACTTTTTGTTTTGAAGTATAATACATTCAGAAAAATACATACAAATAAATGTGATAAGGACTTAACTTAAATAAGAGGTTTATTATTAAAAAGTACTTTCAGCATGTGTGAGGCCCTGGATTTGATCCTCAGCATTGCCCCCCCCCCAAAAAAAAAAAAAAAAAGAAAAAAACAACTTTATATACACACATGTAATATGTGTGAATATGTTTTATGCATATTATATATGCATATTTTTAGAGAGTTCTGATAAAATGTAAAATTGTTTGGTCGAAATAATGTTTAACTTTATATGAAAGTATATTGTCGATATATCCAAATCAGCATCTAGCCAGTAAATTTTCAGGAGGTTTATTAATCATGTCTTTTCCCTTTTATTTGGTTTTCAGTTTTTTACCTAATCTCCCTGACACCAGGCTTTCAGGTTTGCTTGCTTGCTTTTTTTTGGTAGTAATGGGGATTGAACCCAGGGGTGTTTTACCACTAAATTACATCTACAGCCTTTTTGTTTTATTTGGAGACAGGGTCTTGCCAAGTCACTGAAGCTGACTTGGAACTTGTGATGCCTCAGCTTCCAGAGTCTTGGGGATTATAGGCATGTGCTACCACACTCAGCTTAGAACATTTATTATGTGATGTTGTTGTGATAATTGGAAATTTTAGTTAAATAAAGAGGTTATCTTTAGATGTGGCACAAATCTTATAGGATAACCTGGACTGGATTACTTTTCATAGTGAAAAAAGACACTTGGTTCTTGGACAGCAGGTACAAACCAGGACCTATGCTCACGTATAAATCAAATGTTTGTCTCTTTCGTGTGAATAATCAGCCCATTCTCCATCAGATTTCTTTCTCAATCTATCCCTTTAACCAATCTATTACAATGTTTTCTCTCCTTACAGACTATGCCGTGGAAGAGAAACCATCACAGATTTCAGTAATGCAGCAATTGGAGGATGGTGGCCCTGATCCACTTGTATTTGTTTTAAATGCAAATTTATTGTCAATGGTTAAAATTGTAAATTGTAAGTTAGAAATTTATTTTTTTAACTAAAATGAATTTCTTTACAGACTCATCACTAGTAAATAAAACTTTCAAATTCATTACACACAAGGATTTTTATATAGAGCTACATTTTACTGAAAACAAAATTCTGAAAAAGTTGGTTTATATAAAATCATATAAACTGAAACTCTTGCCTTTAATCACGGAGTGAGATAGGTGACTTCTCCCTGGAGGAAAGTCAACAAATCTTGTACTCAGATTAAGTTAAGTTCTTGAGGTAGGTATATTAAGTCATAATTCACCACCAGAATAACTGGAAGTGAAATAAATTATCCAAGAGCGCCAAAAAATTTACATGGTAGGTTTTAATCCCAGAAACCTTAATCATGTTACATAATCGTATTTAGGAAAAGTATTAGTTAATTAATAAGTAGTAAAACTTTAATACATCACAAATGATGATTCAGAAGAAATTTCTCAGTTCTTAGTGCTAGATTCATGAGCATCAGAATAAGAAAGAGAATAGTAACTTAAAATCTTGATTTTTTTTCCAGTATGGTATTTGAAAATAGAGAATGAATTTATCCTGGATGAGACAGTTTTGGAGGAAGGAGGAAGCTCTGGGGAACAGTCCTTTAGTACTGTATACTGATTTTAAGTTGACCTTAGAAACAAGAAGCACCTATATATACCACTACCTTAGAGGTTCTACATTGATGAAATGTAGATTGTAAGTTTGATGTAGGTTTCTGCCTTACTTGATCACACCTTTGAATATTTGGCCAGTTATTAATGCTTTCTGCCTTTCCTTCCAGGACCAGATTTATAATAATCTGCTTGAAACTTCCATTTATTGTATATAGTTTCTTTTTTTATATAGGTTAGGCTTATAAATTAGCTAACATGAAACTCCTGCAGTGTATACCTTTTTAATATAGTTGGATTGGGCACATCCTGTTTAGATACATAAACTAATAATTTTCAAAGTGAAAAAAAATGGATCTTTAATTAGTTTTGATATGCATGGTGATATTCATAATTTTATTTGGATTCTTTTCATGTCCTTTGGGGATCCTATTGTGTTAGGGTACAAAGGATTGAATACTATTTTTGAATATATATATATATATATATATAGCCTCGAAGTGAAAACATGGAAGAAAGTAGTCTAGAAAAGTCATCCTTTTCAATACTTTTTATAGCACAAAGCCAAGTAAAGCCATGTTGCTGTTTATCTATAACTGTCCCCATGAAAGGACTGTAATTAAAGTAGCTAATATCTTTTAACAGATTAAATTTAACAAATAGACATAAATTATACATTTTTAGGTCACAACCTAAAACCTAAGCTATAATATTGGCTTTTATTATTGATTCTTATATAAATAATTATTTCCTTTGGTAAAGTGTTTTTTTTTAAATAAAGGTGTAGGACTATATCCTTTATATAGTATATTTTGGTTTTATTTTATTATTAATAGAACATTGTTTCTTTTACTAATTATGCCTTTTAGTAGTAGGATTTAAAAGTTTAAGTGTTGAGAAAAGAACCAGAGGCATTGGCATGTTTTAATTTCTACAATTGTTCTTTGGCTCAGTGCAATGACCGAGTTTGAATTATACAAACTCAGTATGACCTATTTTATTCTTTGCTGTATTGTATCATAGATTTCTATTTATCTCTTTTTAGAATAGGATTGAGGAGAATGTCTTTATTTTTATGTTTTTATTTCATCTGTAGATGTAAACCGGAAATGCTGGTGTTTCACAACCAAGGGAATGCATGCAGTGGGTCAGTCTGAGATAGTCATCCTTCTACAGTGTCTGCCAGATGAAAAGTGTTTGCCAAAGGACATCTTTAATCATTTTGTGCAACTTTATCGGGATGCTCTGGCAGGTGGGAATGCTTTATGACTTTGCACCCTTAGTAAATGATAAAAAATTTTGGACTTAGATAAAAAATAATAGTATTAGATTTAAAAACATGGTATAAAATATAAAAAAGGGCAGGGGATATGGCTCAGTGGTTAAGTGCCCTGGGTTTAATCCCTGGTACCCCACCACCCTGCAAAAGAACAGTATAGAGTTAATTTGAAATTATCTAGATTCTCCAGGCTATATTATACCTTGAGGCTGAATGTAATTTGAGAAATGACCTGAGACTTTTACTTTTCTCCTCAATTTGAATATTTTCACATGTAAAGTCTTTAAATAAAGTAAAAGTAATTATATGTTCATGTGGCGGGGGGGGGGGGGTGGTTGTTTTTTTGTACCAGGGATTGAATTTAGGGTTTTTCTACCACTGAGATATATCCTCGGCCTTTTCTGATTTTTCAGGCTGGCCTCAAACTTGTGATCCCTGTGCCTCAGCCTCCCAAGTTACTGGGATTAGAGGCATAAACCACTGTGCTTGGCTCATGTAACTTTTGAGAGGGCAACAGATACCAGGGCATGGGAGGTTCATGAATGACATAAATGTCTTGTTCAAGAACTCATCCTTTGTTCTGGAGGCAGTGAGAAACCATTGAAGGAATTTAAGAAAATGAGTGACATAATCTGATTTACATTTTAGAAACATGACTATAGAAGCAATACAAAAAATGGATCAAAATCTGTGAGTCTGGTAATAGTTAAAAAGCATATATAGTATATTCATGTACTAGGATACTGCTCAAAAATAAAAACTAACATACTGCTGGTATATGCCACAAAATGGATGAATTTCAGAGACATTATACCAGGGCATAATGTCTCCATTTGCTTGTTCTATTTATATGGAACAAGCAAAATGAATTCTATGGTAATAGCAATCACACCTGAGGCTGTGGCTCAGCGGTAGAGCGTTCGCCTATCACGTGCAAGGCCCTGGGTTCAATCCTCAGCACCATATAAAAACAAAAAACAAAACAAAAAAAATAGATAAATAAATAAAATAAAAGTGTTGTGTCCAACCACACACACACAAAAAAAAAAAAAAAAAACTGAACTGTGGTGGGGTACAGGTGTTGGAATTGACCACAGAGCAGTCAGGGAACTTTCCTGTTTGATGTTCTATGTCTGATTGGGGTAATGGTTACATAGGTGTTTACATTTATTTAAACTCATGGAACTATATACTTAAAATCTGTGTGTGGAAGGGGTTGTATATAAATCACACTCAAAATTGTTTTTTTTTTTAAAAAGCTATGTTAGGAATTAACGGAGAAATTACAGAACTTAATTTAAGTAATGGCAGTGGAAATAAAGAGTATTGGAGAGAGATGTGTAAGGCATCGATGCTTCAATTCAATAAGATTTACTAACTGAGTACAAGGAGCTAGAGTCAAGATTAGCTCCAGATTTCTGTCTTCGGCACCTGAATAGGTTGGTCTTCTTTGTTGAGATGGTGAATGGAACAGGAACACATCTGGCAGAGGAGAAAAAGATAAGTTCTTAGTTCAGTTTGTTGCATTTGATGATGTCAGGTGAAATATGTAAATAGAAGATATATGGATATTGATATAGAAGATTGATCTAGGCTACTATACAAATTTGGAAGACGCAGCTTTCATGTGATAGTTGAAGTTAATGTTGTGTATGAGATAGGCCAATGTGGAGAAATTAGGGCTGTGAATGGAGTCCTGAGATATACCTGTAAGGAAAGGATGTGACTTATGATATGAATTAGTTATGCATTTATGAATGAATATTATGCATTTTTGAGACATAATAGTTGTAAATTTTTATGGGGTATGGTATAATAATTATATAGTGTGTGTGTGTGTTTGTGTGTGTATATGTATGTGTGTGTGTATATATATATATATATATATATATAAAATATGTATCAAATCAGGGTAATAATAAGTACTTGCATCTCCAAAGACATTAATCATTCTATATGTTGGGACCTTTTATACTCTGCTAGTTAATTTAAAATATATCATAGATTGTTGTAACCAGAAGTTAACCCTATTGTGCTATAGAAAACCAGAACTAATTTGTCCTATCTTACTGTGCTTTCATGCCCTTTATCTAACTTCTTTCCTCCCTCACAATCTAATGTCTTTCCTCCCTCACAATCCCTGCCAGTTTCAGCCTCTAGTGACTACTATTTTACTCCATTCTTCTATTATATCCATTTTTCTGCAAATGAGTAAGAACATGTGGTATTTGTTTTTCTGTGTCTGGCTTATTTAATTTAACATCATAACCTCCAGTTTTATCCATGTTTCTATAATAAATACCATATTTTCCTTATCTTACCTTTTTTTTTTTGGAATTAGAGATCGAACCCAAGGCACTTTATCACTGAGCTACATCCCCAATCCTTTTTATATTTTGAGAGATGGTCTCATTAGTTGCTTAGGGCCTCACTAAGTTTCTAAGGCTTGTCTTGAACTGGCAATCCTGCTTCAGCCTCCTGAGTCACTGGGATTACATGTGTATGCCACTGCGCACCATTTATCTTTTGATGGCCTCCTTGGTTGATTCTGTTTCTTGGCTATTGTGAATAGTGCTACAGTAAACAGGGGAGTGCAAGTATCTCTTTGATAGTATTATTTAATTTCCTTTGGATTTATATACAGTAGTGGAGTTGAGGATCACATTGTAGTTCTGTGTTTTTTTTAATACCTTTATTGATTTATTTTTATGTGGTGCTGAGGATCAAACCCAGGGCCTCACACATGCTAGGTGAGCGCTCTACCACTGAGCCACAACCCCAGCCCCCTGTTTTATTTTTTGTAACGACTTTTCATACTGTGTTCCATATCACTGTACTAATTTACATTCCCACCAGCAGTATGAGTTTCTCTTTCTCTTTATCCTCACCATTTGTTGTTTTTGACTTTGATGATAGCCATTCTAACTGGGGTAAGATTATGTTTCATTGTGGTTTTTATTTGCATTTCCCTGATGATTACTGATATTGAACATTTTTTTCATATACTTATTGGCTATTTGTATGTCTTCTTTTGAGAAATATCTTTTGTACTCTGTAACCCATTTTTAAATTAGATCATTTGGGGTTTTTTTGGCATTAAAGTTCTTGAGTTCCTGGTTATACATTTTTTAAAAGTGTCCAGATACATTAGTAGAGTTCATTTTGAACTACTAAAATATGAAAAAAAATTTTAATATCTTTATTTTATTTTTATGAGGTGCTGAGGATCAATCCCAGTGCCTCATGCATGCTAGGTGATCACTCTACCACTGAGCCACAACCCATCCCCTAAAATATGAAAATTTTTATGAGAAAAATTACTTAGAAGTGATTGTAAAATAACAATAGTCTGAGATCAGACTATAATACATCCAAGTCATCTTAAGAAATTTTCCATAATGTAGGATGAGGCATGTACATATATATGTATGACTCTGTAAATAATATTTCAAAGCATACATGAGGTATAAGAGTCTCTCCTTGTACAGGAATTATTTCACAGATCATCAAATGTCAGGGCTAGAAAGTATCTTAGATCATTTAGTATAAACTCTTTAATTTTTCCTATAGATGAGGAAAACGAAACCTAGATGTGTTAACGTCTTGACTAAATCACAGGGCTAGTTGGTGGCAAAGTTAGGACTATAAAGCTTCCAGAAACAGTGTTCTTTTTATTATTTCAGTTGCCTTTGTGCATGTATTAATAGTATATAAGTTTTATAAAATCAGGTATGCATTGTTGAGAGCCACAGCCGAAGAGGCCCCAGCAAACTTCCAGCTGCCAGCAAACTTCCAGCTGCCAGCTGATGATTGGCTCACAGCGGCCCCAGCAACTTCTAGCTGCCAACTGATTGGCTCCTCTGCAGTGATGCTCATTGGGCTGTTTCCCTGGCCTTTCAGACCACGGAGCTGCTCATTGGGGGACTTTTTTGGATATCAAATAAAGGTCCCAACTCTCCTGTTGGTATACCTAGATAAGGCCTTATCCAATTTATGTCTCCTAATAACTTTTGAAAGTTGTTAAGTGATTTGAGTTGATCTACTCGTATTTGAATTTTTGGTGGACGGACCATGGTTGAGGATAATAGAACTCCTAAATAATTAATTAGAAAATTTAATTGTACTTTATCTATTGCTATCTCTAGATTATAATTTTTTAATAAGTTTGTAAGTGTGGCATAACATTCTAGCTATGTGTTTTTAGCTTTGTGTGCTAATAATACATCATCCATATAGTGAAATATTTGTAGTTCAGGATTTTGATTTCTAAGTGGCTGGATTACTTTGTTAACATAAATTTGACACATAGTTGGGCTGTTAGCCATCCCTTGAGGGAGTACTTTCCATTCATATCTCTGATCAGGACCTTCATGATTCAGTGCAGGGATAGTAAATGCAAAACGTGGACTATCCTCAGGATGAATTGGAATTGAAAAAAAAACAATCTTTAATATCTATAACTAAAACATACCAGGTTTTTGGCAAAGCAGACAATTGAGGAATCCCTGATTGAGCAGGTCCCATAATAACCATCTCATTATTAATGGCTCTTAAATCTTTCAATAATCTCCATTTACCAGATTTATTTTTGATGACAAAAATGGGAGTATTATGGGGAGATGCCGCGTCCGGCCAAGGGAGCCGAGTCCGGCGAGGGACGGCGAGGTTAAAAGACACACAGGACACCAAGGTTCTTCATCCAGGAGTCAATAATAATCTTTATTGCTAACACACCTTTTTTTATACCCCAAGCAGCAGAAGTGGAAAACTACCCAAAAGCAGGAGGGAGGGGGGAGAAATTTAGTTTCAACATCTATTATTGTCAGGTACTGAAACCTCCCTTAACAATAAGTCCATCAGACCAGAAAAGGTCAAGGCATTCCCGTGGGATACATATGTCTCAGACGGATAAGCAGGAACAGAAAAACCGCAAGTTCGCCATGGCCTTGTGAGCTGGCCACACTGGCATGCAG